TCCCAATCGACAATGAGGTCGTCGAAAAACCCAGTACGAACACTGATCTGGAGTTTCCACCAATCAGTGATCGTGACATGGTAAATTCGGAGTTAAACCGTCCAATGGCGACGTTTGACGCGGATTCGTCACGTCCAATCAGCAATCAAAACGTGGGGGGAGTTTCCCCATTGGCTGATGGAACCGACGTTGCGACACCGCCTGCACCTTCTCGGTCTGCGGACGCAAGTGGACCCACACGCCCTCCCCTGGACTACAACAAGGTGATCCGTGGTCTTACCGCTGCGTCGAATCGGCACACTAAGACAACTTTTGTCCCGCCATCTGCCGACGCCATCGCAGCGATCCAGTTGGAGCTCGCCAAGCCCAAAAAGGATCGCGTCGATGTGCTCGACCAAATTAGCCTTGCTCGGCCATACTCGCCTAAAGTGGCTATGGCTCGCTTCACCGTAGACACGGGTGATGTACTAGCTGCGCAGTTGCACGAAGCGATCATGTCGTCGCTGTTTACAAGCACGCAAACCGACGCCGTCAAGGCGTTCCTGCTTGATTTCGTCCAAGTCACACGGCTTGGGCGTGGCGGCATTTTGTTTTCTGTAACGTCGTCGAGTGTGCGAAAGGCGCTTGGAGGTCAATACCTGTCCATCCTGGGAAAGCGCTACCTCATCCCAGTGCAAGAGGAACACCCCCTAGACTATCTGTGCTACATGGACGTCACGGGCATCCGTGACAACTTTGATGCCACGCAATTCTACCGTAAGCTGACCCAGCTTGGCGTGGATGTTGCATATCAAAGCCATCGCGCGGTCATCCCTGGACGGGCTGCCATACGAACGCGTGGCGAGCTTACTTCGCGGATGGGTCAATCCCGAAGGAACTCATGATCCACGGCGTGCCCATCAACCATATCAAATATCAAAAATTCCATCACCGGGTCTTTATTTAAGGCACAAAAGGGACGCCTTTCCACGGTGTAAACGGTGTATCTCTACACTGCTTAGATCTCGAAGTTAAACGTACCAGAGACACCTCGATGGAACAGCACCCCGACATCGATACGGCGACTCAACCGACACCCCCTTGTCGAGTTGACCTAGTATCAAACGCGTCGAAAAAGCCTATAAACGACACGACCGTAAGTCAGCCGAACTCGAGTCGTACGGCAGCGGAGAGGACACACCCGGAAGTTGCGCACACTACTGGTGTCTTTGCTTCGTCGCTTCAGCGCTCCATCGCGGGCACGGAGGCGACGAATATGTCCACGCCTGAACCTCATGAGCACATTGATGTCTACGAGGACGACGGTGAGATCGGCAAAATGGATATCGACGACTCCAAGGACACACATTTATTCATCGAGGTGGACCAACCGTACCAGGTGGTCCAACGTCGTGGCAAACGCAAGGAGCGGACGCACACAGCGCCGAAAACCCTGGAGGACTTCGCGACACCGAACTTTTTTGACGTCCTCCGACGCAACAACGGAGGTTTTCGGGTCGTTCAGTGGAGGGAAAAGCAGGATATTGTCACTATTGTCCCCACCTTTCAGCGTCAATTCTTATCAGAGGAGGACCGCAAGGAGTGCATCACGACGTACCAACAAGTCGGAAATGCACTATCCTTTGACATTGAGACAATGTCAATTGAGCGCCTACACGAAATCCTTGAGACGCCCATTCAACGGCTGCACCACGAAGAGCTCGAGGATATAGATCGCACCTTTAGCGACGCAGCAGCGGACACCCTCAACGATCT